TCAGTGGATATTATACATGGTTATGCTCAGGATATATCAGCCCATTTCTACTGGAAATGCCTTTTGGTTAAACTTTCAGCAAGGAATTTGCATTTGCACTGTTACATTTTTATAAAGCTTTAATGTACATAAAAACCAGCTTCTTGTTTAAGTGAAAATAAATGGAAGGTTGTCTTTTTGCGCTAGTAAAGTTATCGTTATCGCAAATTTTCAAATATATATCGTGATAAATATTTTTGGCCATATCGCCCTGCTCTACTCCCAGGTTATTCAGCTTAAATCATTTTGCTCTCATCTATTCCAGGTCACTTCTGGTGTACTCCAAGGTTCAGTGTTAGGCACTATTCTCTTCATAATTTACATCCTCCCGCTTGGTCCCATTTTCCGCAAATTTGACACCACTTTCACTGTTTTGCTGATAACACCCAGTTATATCTCTCCTGTAGGCCCGATTCGTCCCTCCCACCTTCTTTTCTTACAGAATGCTTATCCGAATGCTCCTTATCGGTACTAAATCCAACCTATTGAAGGCAAATCATTTCACTTTCACTACTGATAACTCCACAGTCTTCCTAACCTCAGGTTAAGAGCCTTAGTGTCATCCTAGACAGTTCACTATCCTATAATCTCATCTGATCAGAGCTCACCTGTTCTGTCTATTTACATCTACGCAACATTAACAGATTAAGTCCTCTTTCCACCCAGTCTGCGTTGATTCTTGTCCACAGTCTCATTACCTCCCATTTGACTACTGTAATTCTCTCTTGCAAGGTATCCCACAAAAATCCCTCCATAAGCTTCAACTGGTTCAAAACTCTGCTGCCCGCATTACTCACAGAACCCCCTCCTACCAGCACATCACCCTTATCCATCAGGAACTTCACTGGCTCCCTGTGAAAATATTAGAAAATTTGCAATAACGATATAACTGACAATATAACTGATTGCGAGACAAAATTCAACTCCACAACTTTACTAGCGCAAAAAAGCCTCATCCATTTATTTTCACTTAAACAAGCAGCTGTTCTTTTATGTGCATTAAAGCTATATAAAAATTTAACAGTGCAAATGCAAATTCCTTGCTGAAAGTTTAATCAAAAGGCATTTCCAATAGAAATGGGCTGACATACCCTGAACATAACCATGTATAATATCCACTGAAGTTAAAAAGAGGTGCTTTGCAACATTAAACTGTAGTGTGCCAAATAAAAAAGTGAAATACGTATTTTTCGGACCATAAGGTGCACGGGATTATAAGACACATTAAGCGAAACAAAGCAGTCAGATAAATCAAACTTTATTAAACTCATTCTTCTTGCTTCCTCCACTTCTGTACCTCATTAATGCTGTATTGTATCACAGCTGTTCCCATGTTGTTGCAGTATATTAATGACTAACCTCGTATTGTGGATGGATTATCTCAGTTGTTCTCCTGACTGAAGTTTGGTCCTTTTACAGCATCCTGCCATGCGATTGCATTTGTCTCTAACCATCAGGAACCTTCACGTTAACTTTTATAAGTGGAAAAGTGTTAGAGTTCATCCTCCAGCTTCACTGTTTATGTTATGCTAACATAGCTGTGTCGCTAGCGATCACGTAGCACATCATTAAATACCAGCTAGCCCAACTTCAGTAACCTTATAAACGTCACTGCTGTTTAGTTTCCTGTCTTCATTTATGTTGGAAGTGATAGCAGAGCTGTACATTTGAATTTTTTCAGAAATCTCTCAGTCAGAACATGCTAGCGAAACTAGCGAGCTAACTTCTGCTAACTTCTAACTCCGTTAAATGTAATAAATTTTGTTTTCATGGATGCCTGGAAGTTAAACTTAATTGTTACACCTGGTAAAGCAGCAATGCTGATCATTTTATTAAAGATGAAAGAATTTAGACAGTTTTTAACTCTCAGTGATGCTGCAGTGTTCGTTTGACTTTTGGACCTGAAGAGATGGAGTTTAGGACCCAGATTACTCTCAGATTTACGAGCACCTTAGTCTGACAAATACGGCAATAATGATGCCCTGCTTGCATATTCTACAAAAAAAAGTGCTTTGTTGGTATCTGATGGACAAAAACCAAACCAGTTCCACATCACTGAAGTGGCACCATTTTTACAAACCAATTCTGGTTCATCCGTTTCACTGAACGATCCGCCTTCTCCATTCTCATTCTCCGTTACCTCCATGCTTTTTCGGCCATGTGCACATGCGCGTTTTATGCATATTCTATGGCGAGATTTCATTTTCTCTTTGTTGCCTAACATTGTACCGGTATTACCGTGAACGGTATAATATGGCCCAGCCTTACATCCAGGTGTTTATTTCTTTAAGACATTCCTGCAGTTTAACTAATTGGTGTGTGTTATCTGGCTTGAAGCCAGTGGCTTCATTGATAGATCCCAGTAAACACCAGTATGTGGGCCCCACATGGGCTATGGAGGTTCCAAGTGGGGATGGGCTTACAATGGGCATCCAGTCTGGGACCCACCTGGGTTAGCCAAGTAGGACCCACCTGAGCCAGCCCAGATGGGCTATGTTCTATGGGCACCATATGGGTAACATATGGGAAGTTGCATGAACAGGCAACTGAGTTTAACGATCTTAGTTAAGTATAATTATTAGTCATGTGTAAGTATAAACATGAATTAAGATGAAATTTTCACTGCTATGCAAATGCAAATGACATGCAAATGACACCCAGCTCTATATAGAGTGTATATAGAGTGGGTGTCATTTGCATAGCAGTAAAAATGTATACTATGCCTTCTGATGATGCTGCCTAATGCTGGGCTTACACTGTGCGATTTTTGGCCCATTTTGAGCCGATTTTTGAGTCGTGCGAGCGTTTTGGCGATCGGCCCGATTTTGGCCTTCATCGTGCGTCGTGCATCGTATAGTATACGTGGGGTAACGAGACGCGATTAACACCTCACGACCAGCTCCCGATCATCAATCGCTTGGTCGTGAGGGTGGCACCGCAGTTTGTCACACTGTGCACGCGCAAACACAAATGTCAGCGAAAAAGACGGCGCAGCACGGCAGTGTAGCGTGTGATCTGGACACAAGCGATGGGGGCACAACTTGTAGAACTTTGGAAAGCTCATCCGAGCCTTTTCGATGTGGCCTCACAAAATTATCACGACCACAACAACCGTGAAAATAGTTGGATCTACATCGGTGCTCAATCACAGCTGCCTGATCAATGTTTTTCATTAGCAATTTAGCAAAGTTGATGGTGGTGGTGTGTCTGTGTGAGTGAGAGACAGAGAGGGAGAGCGAGCGACAGAATTTCTGTTATAACCTTAATTTTTATGGACGCACAGTGTGAGCACTCGGGTCGCATCAGAGCATCGGGCCGTATAGTGTGAGACCCTGCATCGTGACCTATGAACTTCTAACCCCTGCGAGTCAATCGTGCAGTTTGAGCAGGAGCTGAATCGCGCGACTGAAAAAATCGCACAGTGTCTGCCCAGCATTAGGGAAGCATGTATAATGTAAACAGAATTGGTCCTAGCACTGAACCCTGTGGAACTCCATAATTAGCCTTAGTGTGTGAAGAGGACTCTCCATTTACATGTACAAATTGCAGTCTATTAGATAGATATGATACAAACCACTGCATCGCAGTCCCTCTAATATCAACAGCACGTTCTAATTGATGTAAAAAAAATATTATTGTCAACAGTAACGAACGCTGCACTGAGGTCTAGCAGGACAAGCACAGAGATTAGTTAAGATAAGAGATAAGATAAGATAAAACTTTATTGTTCCCACCGCGGGGAAATTAGTGCATTACCACAGCTCAGATACAGATAGCAGAAGAATACAAAGAGTATACCAAAAATATAAAGTCAAGAAATACAAAATAAATAAGATAATACAATATACAATACAACAATATAAACAACGGTAACTGAGTTAATGGTAACTTCATTGTCTCCAATGGGAAATGGATTTGCAGTATGTCCACACATCAAGCAACACATACATAAAAAAAACAAAAAAAGAACAACCTGTCACTGTCAGAGGCCATAAGAAGATCATTTGTAACCTTTACTAAAGCTGCTTCTGTGCTGTGATGGAGTTCTGAAACCTGACTGACAGTCTTCAAATATTCCTCTGCAGATGATCAGTTAGCTCTTTGACAACTACTCTTTCAAGAATTTCGAGAATTATATCTCAGTAGTAAATTATAAATTGTAAATGTTAGACTGTTCTTAACCCTTTTTACCTCAAAGTGTATATTTACCCACCTTACCTCAGTCTGAAAATGTATATTCCTACTCTTCCTATATTTATTGTTGTTCTTTTTGCACCGAATGGAACTGGAGCCTTGTCTGTTGTCTCGTCTCTCTATATATACTGTACTGTATATAGCAGAGATGACAATAAAGTTTACGTTGACTTTGTATTTCTTTTTCTTTTAGATAAAACAAAGTTTGGAGATTGGCCTATAATTAGCTAAAGCAGGTGGGTCAAGAGATGGCTTTTTAAGTAACGGTTTAATTGCTGCCACTTTAAAGGCTGCGCTACATAGCTGCTTATTAGATAGTTTGATCATATTAAAGATCAAAACATTGTAGGACTTTTCTGAACAGTCTAAATGATGATCTTCTAAATTTGTGAGACACCATTTCCTCTTGAGCTTAAGAGTTATCTGCTTTATGGTGCATGTTTGAGAGTTATACCAGGTAACCAAGTACTTCTTCAGGCTTTTTTCACAGGAGCTACAGTATCCAGAGTCGTACACAGTGAGGAGGTAAAATCATTAACCAGATAATCGACCACTGTTGTAGTAGCATTCAGGTAGCTGCTCTAGATCTAGAGTGCGATTAAAGTGGTGGGTGGGTTCTTTTACATTTTGAGAGAAGCCAATTGAGTTTAATAACAGACTTACTGTCATATTAGCCTGTCATTTTTATTATCGATATGCATGTTAAATAATAACCCACAACGATTCTGAGATGAGCACTAAATCAGATAAAAAGTCTGAGATTTTTAGACAGAAATTGAAAAAAGCCCAGGTGGATGATGGAGGATATCAAATATGACCGTTTTTTGTGTTTTCCAGATAGGGTGGGCAAGGCTAAGCATCAGGGTTCCAAATGAATTAAGATTTTTGATAGTGTGAAGCAGAGTCTCCAATTCAGTGATCCTGGCCTCCAGAGTTGCAAATAGGCTACATTTAGTCAGTGTTGGGAAGGTTACTTTTAAAATCTATTCCAATACAGATTATAGATTACATGCCCCAAATGTATTTTGTAACATATTCCGTTATGCTACTCAATGAGAGTATTCTGAATACTTTGGATTACTTAATATATTATCATGCTTTTAACCACTACATGAATGCACTATTGTTGTGTGATTTATTACTATTGCTGAAGGCTACTCGCCATACCAACACCAACTAGATGTTTAAATCTTAATATAAATGAGTAACAGTAGGGTGGACATTAGGTGGCTGCACTTTTTGCAGCGATCTTGTCTAGAAAACTATTTGCTAGCGACAGACAGAGAGAGGCGTTGAAAGGCTGCTCCAACGGAACTTATTGTTTCGGAGACAAACAGGAACACGGTGTACAGTCGAGTCTTAATAGCTTACTTACAACTGGACTACTGTCAGGGTCCTGGGACTGGGCGACCCAGGATCCCTGAGCAGTCATGTATTATATTATTATTATGATTATTATATGTATTTTGGTATTGCTGCTGCTCTCCTCCATGATTGTAGATGTGAGTGTGTGTGTGTTTATGTCTGCGGGGATGCTTGGAGGATGGAGCTCAGCCACCCGCAGGCCTGAGGGGTGTGGCCCTGCGGAAGGACTGGCCACACCCGAAGCCACACACCTGCCGCTGATCAGGGCTCGTCGGGGGAGCTACTTAGGAGAGTCTTGGAGCTCCCACCGACGCGGGATCATTGCATGAGACTCCAGGTTAGTCTTCTGTTCAGTTAAGTTAGTGTGCGTGTATGCCCGCAGTTGTATGTGTCCTGACGGCTGCGTCTATTGTTTCCCACAGGAGGAGCGTGGAAGACACGAGAGCAGCGAGCACCGGGGGTGCTGACACGGGAGCGGAGAGCACAAAGACACGGACTATTCACGGAGAGACACAACACGGGAGTCTGGGAAAACACGGGGATTTATTGTTACTTTGTTGCACACTGTAAATAAACACACTGTTTATACATAGAGCACCGCGCCTGGGTCCTCCTTCCCCACACATCCCCACGGTCTGCCAGCCAGACCGTGACAACTACACTGCCCACGAGGCTACATTCTTTACGGCTATGTCTGTAACAGCCTGCCTATTGCCTTCATATTAAATAATTTTTTGAATAATAATTTTTAAATAATATTTCTTCACGTCATTATGCGGGCCGCAAGTAGAGGTGACATGAGCCGCGAGATTGAGACACAGGCAATAGAGCCTCTTAATGCGTGTTTGTTCGGGTTTCCACCGGCATGGAATTACCAACAAAAAAGAGAGGGCAGCCTAGCAAATGAAACGCCGTGTAATCCCTTTATTTCAACAAAGTAACTGTATTCTGAATAGGCCTGCCACCTTTTTAAACGGTAACTGTAACAGAATACATTTATTCATATTTTGTATTTTAAAGACATAACGGCGGTTCATGTATTCCGTTACTCCCCAACACTGCATTTAGTACAAATATCATCGTTGGTAAAGGAGGCCGAATAGTAACTAAACAGCTCACACACTAAGTTGGCTAAGCTTACAAATCTCTAAGGAGACAGTGTGAATTCTGTGAAGTGGGTGAATCAATATGCTTTGGATAAAGAGCGTGAAGATATGAAATAAGGAGTCATCTATAATGTTTTCATTAAAAATGGCTACTCAGATAAGCTATACAAAAACACCACTGTGTGTTGTTACATGAACAGGAAGTGATACTCAACCGCAGAGAGCCAACACCAAGTGACAGAGCACCATATCATTATCAGATATTCGACTGCTGCCCTCACCACAACCTTTCTTCTTTAAATTCTTTTTGTATTGTGAGTCTCTCCCTATCATTCTTAAGTGACTCTAAGAGTGCAGTCAGAACAAAGAACCACCATGGGAGCTGTCGTTTATAGCTGCTGCACCTTATAAATGCGTCACATCTGTTTGAATGTTTCACATTTGTGCTCAAGGGCCTCATAAAATGTCACGATGGCAGTTTGATGTGGCAAAAATATCAATAACTAAAAAGCAGACCTTTCTATCTGTCATTACCCCATCTTTAGTTTTTCATACAGTTTGAATTAGTTGTACTCACCAGTTACCAGCGAAGAACTCCGCCGTGTTATGTCGAAAATCCTTAAACGGTGAGAGAGCTTTTCCAGCTGCAGCTCTGCTGCTGTTCAGTTTCAGTTTCGTTTAATGACCGTGCGCTGTTTTCTGTCACTCCTCTCAGTGTGAGGTGTTACTGCAGCATTGTCAGCATTTAAAACAAGTCTTAAATCACAGGTTATGCTGTTCTGTAGCGAAAGCTGATTGAAGCTATACGGAGAGTCTGTACATGAACATATCGACATAAAAATAAAAGCTTACTGTGGTGATATTATTGCTTAGATTGTTTATATAAAAAATAAACAACAGTGTCCCAAGAACAGAACGCTGGGGCACTCCTTTTGTTATAATAATAAGCAAGTTAATTTTAATTAGCTTAAAGAATTTAATTTCAATTTTTTTTTCGAAAGGAACTCAGTTTCTCCCACAACACACACATATACAGTGGGATGCAAAAGTTTGAGCAACCTTGTTAATAGTCATTATTTTCCTGTATAAATCGTTGGTTGTTACAATAAAAAATGTCAGTTAAATATATCATATAGGAGACACACACAGTGATATTTGAGAAGTGAAATGAAGTTTATTGGATTTACAGAAAGTGTGGAGTCACATTGAAATCACCTCCAACTCAGTGGGGAATTTGGTATTAAGTTCCTTTATAACTGTAGATCTCTGTAGTCATCTCTGATGACTACACAGAAAACAAAGACAATATTGTGTTGAAATAACCTACGCAAAGCTGTTTTGCTATTTAAAAAGAAGCCTTCCTGAGTTAAAGAACCTTAAAGTTCATGGGTTGGAAATTTTTTTGGAAATTTTTTATCTTTTTTGGGTGACATTTTGGAGCCCTCACAGACAAGTACAGGAGATATCCACATGAAATTTCAGGACTTAAAACCATATTTAAGTTTTTTAAAAACTGCTGCCAAATCGATTTCAACAACTATCCCATGTGTTACAATCTAAAGACCACATTTTTTTGTGATGATTTTTGAGCAATATGAGCAATTTTATATGAACAATGAGCTTTGTTCCTCAGATTGTGCAAACTATTATCTATACTTTTTAGTGGTCAACTAAACTGCAATAAGGTCAACGTTAAAAGTGAAACATAAAATCAGTCCTATAGTTTGGAGTTTGAGTCTGCTCTATAGAGCAGACTCAAACTCCAGTCCGGTTTTTAAAGGATACGTGGATAGTGTCAGGTTAGAAGGTGAATGAGGATCCCATATGTAGACTCATGAGCAGCATGAACTGCATGTCAATACTTTCATCTCTGAGATGGCTGCTCAGTTCAAGCTGTCAGCTCAGCAGGAAGCCAGCAGCATGAAACATTTTAGCTGACACACAGATATGTGCTATCACGATGTTACTTATTACTGAAGGATAATATTTCAAAATGGGACTTTTTTTTTCCTTTCATACACACAAATTTTGATTTTCTCTGTAAAAAATGCAAGGAAGAAGAAAAAAGATGTGAAATATTTATCTTTTAGTCATCACTGATTTCATGTCAACAGAAAACTACCCACTTAGTGTCCGAGAGTATTTGTATTTTTTATTTGTATATTTTGCATACTGGTGGAAAGAACTGTTTGGATCTGGGTGTGTTAAAGTGAATTTACTCGTACTCATGCTGCCCCGATGTCATGCCAGTGCATAGTGGGAATGGCATAGGCACCGATCGGTTTTCTATCGCCCATTTGCTGGGAGTAAGGGCGCCCTCCGTTTGCGAGGTGCGCCTGCTGTTTGCTGCACAGGGAGGAGAGGGCGGGGCGGCGGGGGATTCTCTGGCTGGCCGGAGCAGCGTCTAATAACCAACTCGCAAAATAAAACAAAATCAAACCAACAAACACGAAAACACCAGACATTATAATACAGACTTATTATATTGCAAAAACAAGATTGAGCCAAATCCAACAGTAATTATCTTTGGGATCTCCAAAGAAACACAAAGTTTACAACATTCTCAAAAAAGGTTTATGTCATATGCATTGATCATCGCAAAGAAACTGATCCTGCTGCTTTGGAAAGGCAAAGAGGTTCCTGTGTTAAAGATGTGGCTTGCAGAACTTACAAATACTCTTCACCTTGAAAAAATAAGATATACCATGAATGGCAATGTGAAAGATTATGAACTAATTTGGCACCCTTTACTTGCATATCTTGGGAAAATATAAATTTTTGGCAGTCGGGGGATTGGGGCCCATGGAGGGTGTTTGTTTTTTTTTGTCTTGTTTTGTTTAGAGAAAAAAGGGGCATAAGTTCTATTAATTTGTAACAACTGTGATACTTGCTTCTAATAAAAGATATTTGGAAAGCTATAATACAGACTTATAATTTCCACCGATGTTTTTTCGAAATTCTATCCGCGAAAAGTGAGCGTGAGAGCCCTCGGTGCACGTGCTCGCTGCTGAAGTCAAAGTAAACTTTATTGTCATCTCGCCTATATACAGTACACTATATAGAGAGACGAGACGACGAGGCTCCAGTTACAGCAGTGCAAGTAAACAAACAATAAATATAAGAAGAGTAAGAAAATAAATATACACTTTAGGACTCGGGGTAAAGGGGCGCCAGAGGGAGTGTTTGCCCAGGGTGCCCAACAGGCCAGGACCGGTGTGATGTGTGTGTGTATGTGTGTGTGTGTCTCATTTGTGCACAGACACACCAGATGTTCCCGTGCTGCTGTTGCAGTTGCAATACAGTGTTACCTAGAACTGTGAATTACTTTTTATTTTTCCGACTTTGATGCAAACTAACCTGTAGATGCCGAGGGGTAAAAATCTGCATCTACATCACAGCGTTTATTCCCCCCCCCCCAGCTTCTCTCAGGATTTTAGCTCTTTTCATTGTGAGCCATTAAAACCGACTCAGACTTTCAAGCGACACTAAAAGTACAGTTTTAAATAGCAGACTGTTAACTAACCCCACCGCCAGGTCTTCAAGAAACAAATCTAAATGTAAAGTAATAGAGCTAAAATCATTCCTGGTTTTCACAGACTCCTTAAATATTCAGCCAAATTTCACTTTACTTTTTTGACAGTGTGAGTTGTCCATCTTTATATACAGTCTGTCTTGTGATCCTGACGTCCACGCATTAAGTATTTTTTTAAGATGCAGCTTTCGGCCCCTCGCAGACGGTTCCAGATGACTGAAAATGGGCCTCATTCAGAAATTCAGGAGCCATTTAATGTCACGATCCCCGCGTTTACATGGTTTTCTTCATGACTTTAAGCTTGTGGTTATTTTGCCAACTTGTTGGTTTGGCATGCTCTTAACAGCACTTGGATTGTGTTTTTGCATTTAACGCAGACACAAGTCCACGTATGTGGAACTAAAGCTGTAGTAGAATTTGGACCTGGTCCGATTGATTGGTGTCCCGGGAGCTGCAAAGATGTTAATGGAACAGGTGTAATATCACCAAGAAAGCTTTTTGTGCGTCCATCCACACTGAAGGGGTTTTTCTGCAGGGAAGCAGTGGATCACCTGGTTTTAAGAGTCTTCAGCTGTTTACAAATTCAGGGGGAAAACGTGCACCTAACCACACCCTGGGGGTGTAAAGGGGCTAAAGGAGCATCATATTGGGGGTCAGAGGTCACTGGAAAATTCTCATAAGTAACCTTTAAAGATGTAAGAAACAAGGCAAAGCAGTTATT